GACCAGAGGCGAACTCGCCGCCACGTCGGGTCCCGGGGAAACGTCGCAAAGGGGGAACCTGAGACAGCCTCAGAACAGACAGCGAACCGCTCGTGCCCGGGGAACGTGGTGGTGACGCCGAGGTCCTGGAGACAGCCGACACCAACCAGGTTCCTCGAGAACGAGGGAACGTGGAGGCCTGTAAGGGAGCCCGAGGGAACTGCTGGACAGGGAAGGGACGTAGAACTGCGAGCGACGACAGGACCCGCAGAGGGGTCAGCAAGAGAGACGACAGCAGGCGTAGCAAGCGGCGTGAGCGCGGAACGGTTGCGGAAGAAGCAGGCAGAAGCCGCGGAGTCGAAAGTGAAGGACAGCGCAGCAGTGGCGGGGGCCGGGAACGGAGCCGGTGCGGAGACGAGGCTAGACAAACAAGGCACTCCTACGCCTGACGCAGCAGGGGAGGCTAAGCTACACAACGGTGCAACACCTAAACTAGAGAACACAGGGTAATAAGATCCAGCAACACTAGCAGCGTCAGAATACAAGGCATGCAAAGCAGCACCTATCTGATCCATGTCTAACTCAAAGATCGGCACGCCCTGGCGGAGCAGGCTGTGCCAGTCAGGGAGGTCCGGGGTCGAGCCAAAGCGACGACGAAACAAATCGTCGAGGCGGCGGAAACAGCGGGCAGTCGGGTGCGGGCGGCGGCACAGAGTGCCGCGAAGGGGCCCGGTCTGAAGCAGGTACTGGCAGGTCACAGCACCGGAGCCGCTGGTAGACGCCAAGCTGCGCGGGCCGCCACCACGGCCGCCAACCAGGCGGGAGGCGAGCCCACTGCTGTGGGGGCTGCGGCTGGGACGGCTGCTGCTGCTGGGACGGCGGCTGCGGCGTGGGCTGCTCCTGCTGCGGCTGGGGCTGCTGCTCCTGACCACCAATGCTAGTCCCCCCAGGCGGACTACTGTCACAACCACCACCACCACTACCTGCGCCACCACCCCTACCACCCTGGCGACCACGGCCACCGCGGCGCAAGCGCTGCTGCGGGTGGACCGCAGCAGCCGTCTCGGTGAGGGAGGGCGCCGTGGCGGCCGCAGCCGAAACTCAGTGAACTTGCACTGGGAGGGGGCACAGCCGTGAAAGATAGAGACTTCCGGCGCACCGCTCGACTGAGTGATAGTGCGCTGGCGAGTCTCAATCTCGGTGAGGGTGTCGACAAAGGGAGTGAGGGTGAGGTCAGCCGGGTGCAGACTAAGGAAGTGATCGCGAGCACTAGCGAGGCGGTTTGGCAGGCGCATGGCGATAAAATAGAGCGTCATGCAGAAAGGGGGGGGAGCGCAGTGAGCTGGGCAGCAGTGCTGGCAGTGCGATAGCGGGTCTTTAGGGCACGAAGGTGAGCGGCAAAGTCTACGACAGTAGGGAAGGCTGCAAGGTCTGGGAACAGCATAGGGAAAAGCAAGCGGCCAGCAGAAGCAGACGCGGGTGTGGAATAGCGGGCAATAACTGCGTCCAAGTAAGCTTTGGCTGTATCAACAGTGGCAAAGCGCGAGCGCTCAGAGACAGGGAGGGCGTGGCTAATAGCAACCTAAGCGACTGCATCGCGGGAGTCCCAGACATCGCAAGCAAGTGCAGCAGTAGAGAAGGCCTCACGGTCATCAGAGGAGGGGTCAACAGGGAGGGGAGGAGGTGCAGGGGGGCGGGGGAGCAAACCGTCGACATGGACAACCAAAGAGTGGCCATCCTGGCGCTGACCTGTAAGGTGGCGGCGGAGGTCAGAGAGCCAGGCGGCGAAGTCAACCGCGTGACCCTCGGCGTCTAGTCGGAGTACGAAATCAGCCATCATGCAGGGTCAGCGGCACAGCTCCACTGCGCCACAAGAACACAGCTCCGCAGGAACACAACGGCAACGCCCTCCAGCACGGTGGCCACAAAGGAGCCCAAGCACGGGCGAGCAGGCACGAAGAGGGGCCGGACGGTCAGTCAGGGCGGCCAGGCAGGCACGGGGGGGCCATGCAGGTGCGGCAGGGCCAGGAGGTGCGGCAGGGTCAGGAGGCGCGTCAGGGCCAGGCAGGCGCGGCGGGGCCAGGCAGGCGCGGCGGGGCCAGGAGGCGCGGCAGGGCCAGGCAAGCGCGGCGGGCCAGGCAGGGGCGGCGGGGCCAGGAGGCGCGGCAGGGCCAGGCAGGTGCAGCGGGGCTAGGCAGCGCGGCGGGTCCAGGCAGGCGCGGCGGGGCCAGGAGGCGCGGCAGGGCCAGGCAGGCGCGGCGGGGCCAGGCAGGCGCGGCGGGGCCAGGAGGCGCGGCAGGGCCAGGCAGGCGCGGAGGGGCCAGGCAAGTGCGGCGGGGCCGAGCAAGCGCGGCGAGGCCAGACAGGCGCGGCGGGGCCAGGCAGGCGCGACGGGGCCAGGCAGGTGCGACGGGTACTAGGAGGCACGAGGGGCCCAGGAGGGGCACGACGGGCTAGGAGGCACGATAGGGGCCCAGGAGGGGCGCGACGGGCCAGGAGGCGCTACAGGGGCCAGAGAGGGGCGCGACGGGCTAGGAGGCACACGGGGCCCAGGAGAGGCGCGACGGGGCCTAGGAGGCACGAGATGCCCAGGAGGGGAACGACAAGCTAGGAGGCGCGGCAGGGGCCCAGGAGGGGCGCGACGGGCTAGGAGGCGCGACAGGGGCCCAGGAGGGGCGCGACTGGTTAGGAGGCGCGACGGGGGCCGAGAAGGGGCGCGACTGGCTAGGAGGCGCGACAGGGGCCCAGGAGGGGCGCAACGGGGCCTAGGAGGCACGAGGGGCCCAGGAGGGGCACGACGGGCTAGGAGGCGCGGCAGGGGCCCAGGAGGGGCGCGACGAGCTAGGAGGCGCGACAGAGGCCCATGAGGGGCGCGACAGGCTAGGAAGCGCGACTAGGGGCCCAGGAGGGGCGCGACGGGGCCTAGGTGGGGGCGCGATGTGGCCTAGGTGGGGGCGCGACGGGGCCTAGGTGAAAGCGCAACTGGGCCTAGGAGGCACGGGCGGAAGCGGTAGGTGGGGGGGGTTGAACCTACGGGTGATACCATGTCGAGAAGAAAACTGAACAAGTGTGTTGGTAGAGATAGAGTACAAGGGTATATACCTAAGAATGTTGTACCCTCTAAGAGGTGACCCTATGCAGTCTATGTTAAAATTATATAAGTTATAATTTAATATAGGCTTGGTAGGTTGTTACTGAACCTTTCTGTAGGGGGTACAAACCCCTCCTTGTACTCCCCTCTCTTCCTAATCCAACCACCTTTCTTCTCGACATCCTCTCACCTCCTAGATCCGTTTTTCCTCACGCCATTCCATGGCGGTCTTCTTCCTAGTATCCTAGCCAACCTAGCCTCCTAAGTTTAAGAACCTTTAGTCCTAAGTTTCTAAGATGGTATCAGAGCAGGAGATCCTCCCTGTTGGATCGCCTCCTCACGCTTCCGCAATTTACTCCTCACTCTCATTAGCTCGAGCGGCCATGGCGGCCGCGTTTTGCTGCAGTGGCGACGTCGCGCTGCCACTGGCCGCGTCGTGCCGCGACCGGCTCGACGCGCTGCCGTGGCGTCGGGCCGTCGTTCTGCAGTCGCAGCGTCGACGTCCCGCTGTGGCATCGACGCTGCCTCTGCCGTCGCGACGTCGACGTCCTGCTGCAGCGTCGACGGCGACGTCGGGCCGCAGCCGGTTGCGTCGACGCTTTGCCGTGGCAGCGTCACCTTGCTGCCGTTGCAGCGTCGGCGTGCCGCCACAGCGTCGATGCCGCGCCCTGGCGGCGTCGTCATGCTGCCGCGGCAGCGTGGATGGGCGGCAGCGGGCGGCACGCCGTCGTAACCGCCACCTGCCCGCCCTCCTGCCAGTAAGCGCCGCGCCACTTATGGCGCGTCGCTGAAGACTCGCCTCGCCCCGCCCCCTCCCCTCCCCCCCCCACCTGCACCTGCTTCCCCTGCATCCCCCCCTTTCTTGCTGCAGCCGATGACTGCCATGTGAGGGACCTCTCCACCGCCGAGGAGACAGGACATGCCGCCGAGAGGGCGGGAGCCGCCGCACCAGCCTCTGTCGTTCGAGCCGCCGGCGCCGCCGCTGTTGCCGCCGCACACCGCCGCCGCCGCCGCCGTCGTCACTGTCGCTGCTGCCGCCATTGCCGTCTCAAGGGGCCGTGAGACCTACCCTCTTCCGGAGTCGTTGCGGCTCCTGCTGGGAATGGGGGTGCTGGGCTAGGGGGTGTGGGTGTGGGTGTGGGTGTGGGGGTGTGCGTGGGCTTGACACTACCAAGCCTAGGGGGTGTGTTAAAATTATATAAGTTATAATTTAATATAGGCTTGGTAGGTTGTTACTGAACCTTTCTGTAGGGGGTACAAACCCCTCCTTGTACTCCCCTCTCTTCCTAATCCAACCACCTTTCTTCTCGACATCCTCTCACCTCCTAGATCCGTTTTTCCTCACGCCATTCCATGGCGGTCTTCTTCCTAGTATCCTAGCCAACCTAGCCTCCTAAGTTTAAGAACCTTTAGTCCTAAGTTTCTAAGAGTCTATACAAACATGAAATATACATATGTTTGACAACATGTGCCCCAGCTTGCACCACCTGCGTCATTTTGGCTAAGGACAAGACATGCCCCTCACAGCTGCTCCAGCTCGCCTCAACAAGTCAGATAGAATTCTGTTTCAGGCTGGAAATCCGTTAAGGCTGATAATTCAGGGTGACAAAAACAAGAACATACAATATTTCATGCCTGGTCAAATGACAACCCCTAAAATTTATGCCTAGGAAAAATCAAAAGCTGAAAAAACAGGACAAACCTAAAAAAAAACCCTGATATACAGTATTTCAGGGCATTTTGTCCTGACTTCTGAAGCCCTGGTGTAACACCATTAGTGTAACACCTTTAAGGTTTACTGTGTTGCACATTAGTGTTGGCTTTCTCACAGCTCTAGGCGGAGTGTCTTATAGCGCGGAACATTTTAGCGAACCATCGAGTGGTGGAACCAGTTGGTCGAGTGTTGCGCAGAATTCGTGTTGTGAGTGCAGCAATTCTGATGACTGCTCTTCACTATCCCGAGATGATGTTTATGTGCTTGTCCTGCCGGATCTCGAGCTACGGTAACCGTGCGACCGCCTGACGACTTAGCCGTGCATTGAAATCGCTCGTGTTGAGATCGTTCGCTTTCTCCATGTCGGTTTCAGCCGCAGCAGCGAATCTGATGACACTAACGCATCAGCTCGGGGAGCGGTCATTTCCGACATGCAGTGAATCTGGAAAATGGATGGTACGGCCCTGCGCATTCTCCAGCAGCAGCGGCGATTGCGGGACGGAGATTGGCCAATGGGGGAGGGGCAAGAGGCGGAAGCAACGGTGCGCTGTTGTTTGCGGAGGGGGAAGCTCAGGGGGCGGAGGGGGAGGAGGCGACGGCATTGATAAAGTCCGCCTTCTGATTGGTGGGTTGCTTCCGAGTTGTCAACCTTGTAAAAACCGTCAGACATCGGAGATTGACTAATGTTTCCATTCGTGACTGCAGGTATGGCGACAAGGGATGACAAGAAGCGAGGGTTTGGCCCACCGCCTCCTAAAGACAAGGCTGCTGGCTCAGGCCTTGTCAATCTCACAGGTCACTGATATTGTCATTATTACAGGTTAAAGGGTCAATCTCAGAGGTATCTGATCGAGTTCTATTTCAGACTTACTGAACAGATACTAGGGGCTACATGCCTGGCCTCAATTTTGATCTCCGCTTCTCCAGTCACTCTGCAACTTCCCATGTCTTCTTCACTTCAACCTTTCCCAGTTTTCCCCATGCAAATCACCAGGCCGAGAGGACCTGATGGCTGGACGCCGGGAGTTTGACCTCCCTTTTTCCTCCTCCACGCCTCCCGAAGCCCTGCTGGCTCAGGCTCGGGCCCGAGCCAAGGCCCGCACAACTGCTCAGTCTCGGGCTCGGCAAGCTGAAGGGTCGGGAGATGGGGAGAAACTTAGCGATGGGGAGGGGAACAGGCAAGCTGGCAATGAAGTGAGGGAGGTGGATTTGGAAGGGAGTGGCAGCAGCAGCGACACAGTGTCTGCCAGTTCTGGGATCAATGGAAGTGCATTTGAGCATTCTTCACCTACCTCTACTGGTCTTCCATTGGATCTCACGCCAGCTGAAGCAGTGATTTCGGCTGGCATGCTCGCTCTGACGGTGCTGGCTGTGGGGAAAGGCTCAAGAGGCTTCTTGTCTGATGATGTCATTTGGCTCTTACAGGTGACATGATTCCTTCTTACTTTGAGCATTATCAGATCATCTACTCCCTTGCAACTTTCAAGCCAGTTTCACCAACTCTTGCCTCCTGCCAGTCTCTTGGTTTCCTGAAGTTTTTTTCAGCCACTTTGCACATTCCATCTGCCCCAGGTTTGGATGGGTATCGCTTGGACTACTCACTGCTCTCTTGGTGCATTCGCTGCATTCATATGCCAACAACCAGGTCTGAGTACAACGTTTATTGCCCATTTGTCAAGTCTTCATAAGCCCTTTAAATCTGAAAATGCATGGTGTCCTTCGTTACAGGCAACCAGCTCCCTGCATCATCTTCCAGCAAGTGGTTTGTCAAGATCTCACTTGCTGGTTTCCTAGCGTTTTCTGATTTCTGGAGAATATGGAGACAACATTAATCTCAGAGTAACGAATTTTAGTAGAATGAGGGGTGGTTGTCAAATTATATATTATATATATACTTGTTTAGGCTTGGTAGATGTGCTACATTACTGGATCCTACTTTAGAGGGGACAACCCCCCCCTTCTTGTATTCTTCCTCTTCGTAGTCCACCCTCTATTCTCTCATAACTTCTCCCTAGCTAAAACCTCTTGCCCACTCATGGCTACCTATTGCCCTATCTTCTTTCAACATTATAATTTTTAACACACGTAGTGTTTTTCAAAAATTGTGTATTGTGAAAGCGAAGCTGATTGTACTGAAGCGTTGGGCATCGTCGAAGCGCGCTACTCGCCCTTCTCCAACTACATATACGTGGGTTGGAGCTCATTTACCTCCACCCACATCTCTCATTTTTCAAACGGCTCAGTCAACCTTCCCACCCACCCCCCCCTCTAGACAACCGCCCATCTCCAATGGACAGCCGGTCACTTGAACGGGAGCACACAACTAGGATCATGATGCGTGTATGTTTAGATTCTTATAAGCTAGTAAGCGACTATTGTACCATGCCACTTGAAATGAGAACGATGCCTATTGCAAAGGACAAGAAAGCAAGCTTTCTCAATATGGTAACATAGCAGGACGTTCCTGCTGCGCCTTATCATGACGCTTCCGCAGCGTACTCTCCCCCCTCCCGTCACTTTCGCGCCGCCGTGGCGGCCATGTCGTGTTGCCATAGCGGCTTTGTCGTGCTGCCGTGGCAGCCGCGACGCGCTGCCGCGGCGTCGACACCACGCCGTGGCGGCGTCGTCGTGCTGCCGTGGCTGCAACGACGCGCCGGCGCATGGGCGGCAGCGGGCCGCACACTGCTTTAGGCGCCAGCCAGCACGCCCATACGACAGCCAGCGTGCCAGCCAGGGCGCCTCGCTGAAGCCACACCGCCTCCCCGGCGCCACCCCTCATTCCAGCCGCAGCTGATGATTCCCTTCCCTGTCGTCGCCAGGCTGTGCCACGCCGCCGGGTGCCGCGAGCTTTGCAGTCGCCGCCCCCGTTGTCGAAGCAGCCGCCGCTGATGCAGGTGCAGCTGGCTCCGCCGCCACCCCCTCCGCCGCCGCCGCTGTCGTCGTCGTAGAAGCTGCCGCTGACGCCGTTGCTGCCACGCGCCGGAGGTGTCATCGCTTCACACGAGGGGTAGAAGCCACACCTGCTACATGACATGGGGGTGCAAGGGTTTGGGGTTGGGGGTGTTTCGTGTTGGGTTGGCTTACGACAACCAAGCCTAGGGGGTTTGTCAAATTATATATTATATATATTTGTTTAGGCCTGGAAGATGTGCTACATTACTGGATCCTACTGTAGAGGAGACAACCCCCCCTTCTTGTATCTCTTCCTCTTCCTAATCGACCATCTTTTCTTTCGTAACTTCTTCCTAGCTAAAACCTCTCGCCCACTCTGCTAAGCTAAGAACAAAAGCTAGGCGGCCATAGAAGGCACGAGGGTTTAGCTGAGAGAGAAGTTACGAGAGAAAAGAGGTCGAGAATAGAAGAGAGAGGGATACAAGGAGGGGGGTTGTAACCTCTACAGTAGGTTTCAGTAACACCTACCAAGCCTACCAATTATATATCAAAGATATAATTTAACACACCCCCTAGGCTTGGTAGCCGAAAGCACACCATACACACCCCCTGAATCTAGCACCCCCATGTCAACAAATATAATTGTCTATGCTAGGTACAGTATATTTGTTATAGCCTTATTTAGGTCACTTCTTAGAGGGTACATTCCCACCTTTGTAGCCCTCAGCCTTCCTCCCATAGTCACCTTTCTCTCGACTTTCTATCATGGCATCTAGAGCTAGGTCTCGCCCTCTACTCATGCTTCCGCCCTAGCACACCCTAGCCTAGCGCGCCTCACCCCTAGTTGCGTGCCTTGTAGATCGTCCCCCTCCCTGCCCTCCTCTGCTCGTCGCGTAACTCGTGTTGGCTAGCGCCAGCCGCCACCAGCTAGTGCCGACCAGCGCCAGCCGCCGCTAGCCCGCACCACATTGGCGCCTTCATTAGTCGTCGATCCTCCCCCCCCCCCCCCCCCGATCGATCGTAGCTTGTCCCTAACGCCAGCGCCAGCCAACCCACCAGCTCGCCAGCGCCAGCCAACCCGCCAGCTCGCCAGCGCCAGCTCACCTGCGTTGGCCAGCACCAGCTCGCCAGCATTAGCTGGCTAGCCCCTGCCTGCAGTTTGCCGCCAGCGCCAGCTAGCCAGCGCCAGCACGCCAGCGCCAACTTGCCAGCGCCAACTTGCCAGTGCCAGCAAGCATTCACAAGCCGCCAGCTCGCCAGCTACTAGCCGCCAGCTGCTAGCCGCCAACTCGCCAGCTGCTAGCCGCCAGCGCCAGCTCGCCAGCTGCTAGCCGCCAGCGCTAGCTCGCCAGCGCCCGCCCGCCTCTTACCCGCACTAGTCAGCACCGCCAACTGACTCCACTGCCCGCCAGCTGCCACTGCCAGCGGCGCCTCTCCGCTGCAGCCACTGCTACAGCTTGCTCTGCCGCTGCAGCCACTTGCACCCCGCCGCGGCCACTAATGCAGCTGCTGCTGCCAATGCCGCTGCTACCACTGCCACTGCCGCCACTGCCGCTGCCGCCACTTCCCTTGCAGCCGCCGCTGCAGCCGCTGCTGCCCTTGCAGCTACCACGCTGCCCCCTGCGGCTGCCCCTGCCGCTGCAGCCCACACTGTCACTACAGCCGTTGCTGCCACCACTGCCGCGGCTCGCCCGTACCCGCGTAGCCGCCTCCGCTAGCCAGCTCACTGCTGGCCTGCTGCCATCCTCACCTCGCTGCTAGCTAGCCGCCCTCGCTCCCACCGGCTTCTATAGCAGCCGCCCCAGCTGTTCCTGCTTCTGCCGTCGCTCGGCGTCTTCGTTCTGCACCTGGATGGGGAGGGACGGGCAGTCAGTTTCGCCGCCTGGCAGGAGGCAGTTCTCCTTCAGCTCACGAGTCAGCGCGTCGACGACGAGTCTTTAGACGCCCACGTCTCTGGTGAGCTCCCCACTATCCCTCGCCCGGGCGCTCCTGCTCATGACGCGACGTCTGAGCAGCAGGCTGTGCACGCTGCTGCTCGTACTGCCTACTCTATCTAGGCGTCTCGCGACGCCACTGCTCGAGTCGCCATCCTCAGGTGCCTGCCGGTTGCCGAGCACTCCCACTTTGTGGGTGCTGCGTCAGCCCGTGCCCTCTGGCTGGCTATCCTAGCTAGGTACTCCACCCCGTCGTCTGCCACTCTTGGTCGCCTCCTCCTCCCTTTCTTCCACCCTGACCTGACGTCGTTCACCACTGTAGCAGACTTAGTCGAGCACCTACGCTCTCTCGAGGCTCGCTGGCATGCGGCCTGTACTGAGGCCCAGCTAGCGCTTGCCCCGCCCCCCATCTTCGCCACTGTCTACTTCCTTGTCACCCACCTCCCTGACCGCCTAGCCCCTGCCGGTGACGCGCTCCTTGCTCGTCACCCCTCTGAGCTTACCATTGACTTCTTCTCCACCTCCCTGACTGAGATAGAGGACCGCCTCCGCGCTATCGCCGGTTCCACTGGCACGCTGGTGGTCCCTATTTTTCAGGGCAGCGCTCCCTCCCCAGTGACAGTCCCTGCCTCTGCCTTTGTAGTTGAGACAGCAGCGGCTATCTCTGCCCCCGGCCGCTCATCTGACGACAAGGGCAAGGGCAAAGGGGGCAAGGGTCGTGGGGGGTTGGCAGCAGCGGGTGGAGGGGGTGAGGGTGCGGATGGAGAGGGTGGTCAGTCGGAGTCGGGGACTGCACAGCAGCAGCAGCCGCAACCAAAGCAGCAGCAGCAGCAGCTGCAACAATCTTGGGGGCCGGCGGACCCTGGGGGTGGTAGACGTGGTGGAGGCCATGGGGGTTGGGGCCCAGGGCTGTTGGTGCCTTGGGGGTCGCGTGGCTCTTCTGTGAGTCAGGGTGCTGGTAGTTCTGGTAGCGCGGTCACCTGCACGTACCAGCTGCTGTCTGGCCCACAGGCAGGCCAGGTGTGCGGGTGCGTGGGGCACACGGCTGCTCGCTTCTTCTGCCGCCTGGATGATCTCTACCGTCGTCACTTCGGCCCGCAGGTGCAGGTTCCCCCCTGGCCGGTCTTGCTTCGTCGTGGAGTTCCTATATTTGATATGGATATGATTCAGATTGACCATGCCTTCAATTCTCTGTATTTTGATGCTTCTAGTGTTGCTAGTTTTTATTATCCTGCTGTTTGTAGCCATGGAGCTATTGCTGTGTGTAATCTAGGATTCCCTACTACGTTAGGCATAGGACCTATTAGAGACTCTTCACCGGGCCACGCCTCGTCGGCCCTCTCCTTTGTCTTAGACTCTGGAGCGTCTTCGTGCTTCTTTCGAGACTGTACTACTCTCATCCCGCCTCCTACACCTGTCCGCGTCGCACTAGCAGACTCCTCCGCCTCAGCTGTCGCACGTAGCACCACCACTCTCCCCTGTCCGGCTGTGAGGCTGAATTCTATGCCTGTGCCATGGCGGCATAGGAGCTCCGCTGGCTGACATTCTTGCTCACCGACTTAGGTGAGCGGCCTAGCTCTGCCCCGGTTTTGTACGCTGACAACAGGGCCATGATCCTCCAGTGTCAGGAGCCTTGACTTGAGGGCAGAGCGAAGCACATCCAGCTGCGGTACTTCCTCCTGCGCGAGCTACAGCAGCGCCGCTAGACCCGCGTAGTACACTTGGCCTCCGGTGCCAACACAGCTGATACCTTTACTAAGGCGCTTGCGCCTAAAAATCATCAGCGGCACTGTCTGCAATTTGGTCTAGTTCCTGTAGCTCCTCACTTGCTAGGACCTTGATTTTGTACTCCTCTTGATATATACCTTCTTGATTGGCCTTGTGGTTTATTTTCCAGTGGCCTGACTAGTAGTGCCGCCGTTGTTTGCTCTTGTCGTATTTATACTCTTGCTGCCTGGTTTTCGGACCCCTGCCTTAGAGGTTGGACTAGTTGTGCCACCATGAGTTGCGTGTTTATTGCTCAGCATTGCCCCTTATGCAGCCTAGGGGGTGGGTCAACTTATACATACAGTATGTTTATATGTAGAAGTTATAGGCTTGGTATCGGGGGAGGCTTTCCTCCCCGGAATAGAACCCCGGATGGCTCCGATACCAAGTCATAAAGT